TCAATGAGTCAAACATATTCCAAATTCAAAAATTCAGTTTCTACTGATAATGGCAATATTGATATAACCCATACACACTAGACGTATACAAAGTATGTTGTGTCATCGATATATAGCATAGCATACAATTCATCAAATATGCGTAGCTAACAATAAACATGTTGTTGCATGGAAGGATTCGGTTTCGACCACAATAACCAAAGGTTTATATATATATAATCATATCGCTATAAGTTACAGGGTTGGGTATCAGCTTCTTACAATATTTAGGACTACGAATCCAATCTGAACATCTTACGCTAAGCACTTTGATCGGAAGACGTATAATAATAAGGATACCGCAAACTATGCACTCAGGCGTTTCGCAAATACTTTCGCTGTCTCCGTGTATACTTTGCGACATTTTGGCAATAACCTCATCACCCCCATAATAGTAGCTAGCTTTTAAATTCACTGCAAAACTACAGTACTCGGGAAACATTGTGTCTTTGAAACAGACCTCTATCAAGTATAAGTGTTGAAGGAATGTGACTGCGATCCAGTAGTAATGAGGCAGTGAACACATGTCACGTGACCGAATATAACATTTGTATGGTTATATAATGTATTACTAATTCATTTGCCACTAGGTGTATTCGGCGATCCAATAGACACTGTTGATGGGAAAGTGAAAACAAGGACCGCCTCGTTCAATGTCACTGTTGGTAATGAATATGCAAATGTGGATGGGCTTGATATAGTTACAGTGAGTACATCCAAATACAGTAATCTGTCATGACACATTATTCATTCTTAAATATTGTACTTTTGGCTTCTAATGTAGAAGACTTTCCTCATATATAAAATTAGTTGTTAGACGTTGTGTACCATGCACTATGAGTACAACTGAACCATTTCGAATTTACACATTGATAAGGTTATACCCTAAAACCTTGTCAGACGGCCTGGGTCGTACTCAATAGATGAAATGCTTTACCTCGGCTTGAAAATATATCTTATAGAAGTCGCGCCTTCTAGCGTTGAGGAGACGTTAAGATGACTCAGATTAGTGCAAGACATGTCGATCATATAGACAACTCATATTGTGAAGCGGTTTTCTATTTCGATAACGAATATCTCTAAAATAACGTGTTCATATTGACGGGCAAACACAAATCGAAATAATACTGTAATGGCACCCATTCCAATACCGTAATAAATTGCCGCTAGAGGGTGTTTTTCGTTACAGACTCGTAACTATTAATTTTGTTCAGGGATTCTATGAAAATGCAGTGTACGCAGAAAAGGCAATCGTGATTGAGGAAGGAGACAAAATGATTACACCGACTTTTACATCCAGGGAGACGACATTCACTCTGAAATGGACATTAAAAAGACACGTGCTGAATGTTTCTTTCTTTGGTTCTGATTACATGGGTCACATGTGCGGACTTCTGGGAAACGCCGATGGTGATACAGATAACGATTTCATGAAACCCGATGGAACTGTCGTTGGTGACGCAGACGAATTTGGAGAGAGCTGGAAAGTGAAGCAAAACGAGTTAGTAACTATAAATCTTATTTTTCACATCTGTTGAAATGAACATAAATAGAATCCCATGGTAGCAGTTCATAAACATATAACACTGCGATAAAGACTTTCCGTTTTCGACATTGTGCAATTCTTTCTTTCGAAGAAAAATCATATTTTAAAATTATTGTTCATACATGAGTTGTTGAACACACTACATAGTTTGTAATTTCATTCAGCTTCTGTCAGTCACAACTCAAAACAAATGAAAGGCAAAATATAGATAATATAACAATTTTCATGAGTGCATATTTCTGGATTTTCTTGTCAAAATCAGTTTCTTAAGGTTTTTTCCTCCGAAAAAACAAAAGAATTTTACAATGTCGAAAATGGAAAGTATTTATCATAGTCTTATATAACATATATTATTTTGCCTGTTGCAAAACCAATACAAGTTAACAATACCATTACGGTCTGAACAGTTTTGTATTTGCTCTTTTACAGTTGTAACTAAATACATATATTACTACGAAATTATGGAAGTATACTGACGTCAGCACGAGACAACGTCACGTATGTAGGCAATTGAAC